AAAAAAAGAGCCATGAATAGCCTTGAGGGGGTTTGCAGAGTGCTACTCAGGGCTGGGGGACACAATTGAGCAAAAAACAGCCTATTTTTCACTCATTTCTGCCCTCCCCAGCCTCCCCCCCCCAGGAGCTCTATGAAAGCCTTCTACAGGCTATGCACAGCCATTTTGGTGAAGGGGGTGGGGTTTCAGGAGGCAAAAAAATGCTGTATTCAGTGTATAAGATGCACACAGATTTTCAGCCTCTTCTTTGAGGAAAAAAAGGTGCATCTTATACCCTAAAAAATACGGTGTCTTCATTTACAACCCGTAAAGAATCACAAATAGTAAAAAGTCCGACAGAAGTCTGCCAAAGTCTTTCGGGATAAGGCTGATAAACCCACCTTTATTTCCCTTGAAACGCTGCCAAAGACCTAATTTGCCAATTAGCTTTGCAAGCCACATGGAGCACAGCATCAAAATGGAGCTTCAGACTTTAAACCGACCAGAATGAAAAAAGTTGCTTCCTGCAAAGCCTCACGTGCCTTTGTTCCTTCTTTATCTCTTATGGGAGGGGCCAATCATTTCCAAGCCTTACTCCCGAGTTGCCCCTTTTGTCTTAACTGTTCTTGCCTTTTGGCAGCTCTGCACATGCGCACACTGGGAACGGGCTCCCTCTGTTCCTCTGCTCGTTGCTGTCCAACTCTGGAGGCTCTGGAGGCAGCACATAACTCCCAGATGGCCCTGGTCCCCTCTCTGCCTCCAACACAGAGCCATCACCTGAGGCTTCCCCAGACTCCAGGACTGGCCCATATTCCTCCCCAACCTCCTCACTGTCTGAATCTGCTGCCAGCTCTGCAGGCTACCAGCGGACCACAACAGTTGGGTAGTAAAACATCTGGAGGAAAGCAACCAAGCTCAGAGATCACCAAGGACCTCCCAGGCTGAATGTCATAAAATACTTTCCCCATATCATGTTATAGTTTGCTTTAAGCATGTGGAACCATGTTGATCAAGCAACAATAATGTGATTATCACTCCATGCTAAGCAATAAATCATAGTTCATAAATCATATATGTTCTGTTCACTTACGGATTAAGCCAAAACCAAACAAGGCAAGTTCAGCATAATGCAACCTAACTAGCTAATTTGTTGGCTGAAGGTTTTTTTATTTATGAGATACTTAGGACTGATTTGCTAAGTACAGGAACAAGTGGAGGCCGGGAGAAATAATCACAGACCTTAAATGAGCCAGAAAGGTTTGTAATAAATTTATAGGTGATTTTAAAACAGCCCCTTCACAAGGCAGGAGAAACAATTGCTTGCTTTCCTTTTATGGAAAATCCGTGGCTCATTGCAATACTTCAGATCAGCTGAGCCCTGTGATTGCTGATATTCGATGCATTAAATCTACTCTTTTCTATACAATATTGGCTAATAAAGTTGTAAGAACAACAGTGGATTTCATTTCAGCCCAAAGGTTTCCGCTATAAAACTTCTGTCTGTTTTGCTGAATAAACGCATTCAAGGATATAAATCTCTCTTTATTAAGTATTCTAGTTAAAGACAATAGATGTGCTAGTTTCTTTTCAATATCGTGGACAGGAGGCCTAGATTTTATCACCATTTCATTTTGGGGGGATATTTTGTGGGTGAACGTAGTAGGAGCAGTTGATATACAGGATTCCTCAAATGTCTTTGTTGGATAGTTCTGAAGACAGATCTCTTCTGCTCGTAAGATGATAAACACTGCCAAACTTTATTGAAGTATAAAAAAAATTCGCTGTAAATGAAAAGTTTGAAAAGAACAGGCTACTTTAAAGGTTTTTTTTATTATTAAACAACACAATCATAAAAGTGAGCTACAGCCTTGTAACTTATGACAGGTAGCTATTCTTATCTGGCCTGGGGAATATCTGGGTTAGCATCTGGCTTGTAAATTTTGCAACTTTGCAAAAAAAAGGGGGAGGGAAGAAGCTTGTGTTTCATAGTGAACATTATGCAGACTTCAATAATGACTGTGTGATGGACATGTGGGTGCTGGGCAGGGGCTTGAACTTTCACTTGGGTGGGGAAAACCTGGAAGCTTTCAGATTTGGGTTTTCCCAGTTGTGACAATATGACATCTCTAATAAAATGGATGACTTCTCTACTAATATGACATCTCTAATAATATGACATCTCTAATTTCATAATAATATGATATCTCCAATATGACATCTCTAATAAAATGCTGAAGAAGACTCCTGCGAGTCCTTTGGACTGCAAGACGATCAAACTGATCAGTCCTAGAGTGGATCAACCCCGACTACTCTTTAGAAAGCCAGATCCTGAAGAGAAAGCTCAAATACTTTGGCCACCTAATGAGAAGGGAAGGACTCACTGGAGAAGAGCCTAATGCTGGGGACGATTGAGGGCAAAAGAAAAAGAAGGGGACGTCAGAGAATGAGGTGGCTGGATGGAGTCACGAAAGCAGTTGGCGTGAGCTTAAATGAACTCCAGGGGATGATAGAGGACAGGAAGGCCTGGAGGAACATTGTCCATTGGGTTGCGATGGGTCAGACATGACTTGGCAACTAACAACAACAACAACAAATAAAATGGAACTTTGAGGAACTTCAAGTCTTGGAGTGTTATTTCGTTGGGGGTGTTAGTTGGAACCCTGACATTAACTCGAATCTGAAAGCTTCAAGGTTTTCCCCACCCAAATGAAAGTCCAAGCCCTTGCCCAGCACCCACATGTCCATCACATAGTTCAATCAGCCACTGTCCCACTGGAGATGACTCCCAGTCATACCCCTCAAGGTGCAGGGCAAGATGTCCTTGACTCTCTGATAAAGGAATGTTATTTAGATTATATATCTCCCATACTCCAAATAATCCCCCTCCCATTTTCTCACAGCATCAAATGTGGCAGGCCTGAAGGCCCAATGCAAAAGATGGCTTCCAGGCCTGACAGACTGTATGTATTTGAGCAAAAATACAGTTGTTGTTGTTTTCAAGCATTGTAGAAACCTGGTTCTTTGAGTGTTAGCGGAAGTTCCTGGAAAGGTATCTTATGTTCAGAATTATCTGACCCAATTCATATTTCACAAATGGGGCTTGTTTATGAAGTTCACATTCCCCCAAAGCTCTTGCAACATATTAAAAAAAACTGCCCACATGATATTTTTCCAGCAATATTTTTCTTAAATACTGTATTTTCTTTTTTAATCCACCTCTGGTCAATAATAAAAAAAGGAAAAGAGAAAATCATAGAAATTGAACAGGCCTAATTCAGAAGGTAATGGACATGGTGACTCAGTGGCTAAGATGCTGAGCTTGTTGATCAGAAAGATCGGCAGTTCAGCAGCTCGAATCCCTAGTGCCACGTAACGGAGTGAGCTCCTGTTACTTGTCCCAGCTTCTGCCAACTAGCAGTTCGAAAGCATGTAAAAATGCAAGTAGAAAAATAGGAACCACCTTTGGTGGGAAGGTAACAGCATTCCTTGCACTTTCGGCATTTAGTCATGCTGGCCACATGACCATGGAGACATCTTCGGACAGGACTGGCTCTTCGGCTTTGAAACGGAGATGAGCGCCGCCCCCTAAAGTTGGGAACGACTAGCATATATGTGCGAAGAGAAGCTTTGTCTTACCTTTAATTCAGAAAGTGTTTTTTTAAAAGAAGAGTTAAGTATAAGCTCCAACCTTAATTTCCTGAAATTGATTTGTGTTATTTATAGCCATTTCCTATTAAAAATGCAGCTGTCATTTTGCTTCTTCTTTGCTCTCCTTTCTAGATCGAAGAGGACACTTGGCAGAAATACTACTTGGAAGGAGTATCTAATGAAATGTACACAGAGTATCTTTCTAGTGCCTTTGTTGGTCTGTCATTCCCTGCTGTTTGTGAGTAAGTACTTTTGCAGCCATGAAATCATCTTTTTTTGAAGAGATCTTTGTCCTTAATTCTAATCTGAAATGATGAAAAACAATAGCAATAGCGCTTTACTATACTCCTCGTTTTACTGACCGCAGAGGCTGAGTACATAATAATAGCACTTAGACTTATATACCGCTTCACAGTGCTTTGCATCCCTCTCTAAGTGGTTTTCAAAGTCAGCATCTTTCCTCCAACAATCTATGTCCTCGTTTTACTGACCGTGGAAGGATGGAAGGCTGAGTCAATAGCAATAGACCTTAGATTTATATACCGCTTCTCTGTGCTTTTTACAGCCCTCTCCAAGTGGTTTACAGAGTCAGCCTATTGCCCCCAACAATCTGAGTCCTCATTTTACTGACCACAGAGGCTGAGTCGATAGCAATAGCACTTAGACCACTTCAAAGTGCTTTTAAAGCCCTCTCTAAGCAATTTACAGAGTCAGCCAATTGCCCCCAATAATCTGGATTCTCATTTGACCAACCTTGGAAGGATGGAAGGCTGAGTCAATAGCAATAGCACTTAGACTTATATACCATTTCACAGTGCTTTAAACAGCCTTCTCTAAGTGGTTTACAGAGTCAGCATAATGCCCTCAACAATCTGGGTTTTTACTAACCGTGAAAGGATGGAAGGCTGAGTCAATAGCAACAGCACTAGCGCTTAGATTTATACGCCACTTCACAGTGCTTTACAGCCCTTTCTAAGTGGTTTAGAGTCAGCTTCTTTCCCCTAACAAATTGGGTTGTCGTTTTACTGATCTCGGAAGGATGGAAGGCTGAGTCAATAGCAATAGCACTTAGACTTATATACCACTTCACAGTGCTTTTACAGCCCTCTCTAACCGGTTTACAAAGTCAGCATAATGCCCTCAACAATCTGGGTCCTCATTTTACCCACCTCGGAAGGATGGAAGGCTGAGTCAACCTTGAGATGGTAAGAGTCGAACTGCAAAACTGTAGCCAGCTGTCAGCAGAAATAGCCTGCAATACTGCAGTCTAACCACTGCACCATGGCAGTAAGTAGTAAGGGAAGAATTTTCTGAACTAAGAATGATTAAATAGTCATAGCTATCAATAGACACCTAGACATTAACAACATCTATAGACGATGCAAAAAAATATATATGCAGACAGTTTGTAAGGCTGCAGAGTGTTCCTGGAGGCTTGGGAGGACAAAAACAGCCCAGTTTTTGTGAAAAACGAACCCATTTTTCACTTGTTTTTGCCCTCCCCAGCCCCCGGGAGCACTTTGCAGGCCTCCCAAACCCTCTGCACATCCATTATTATGAAAAACAGGATGTGCGGGGCGGGGTTTCGTGAGGCCAAAAATACTGTATTCAGCGTATAATATGCACCCAGATTTTTACCCTCTTTTTGGGGGGGGAAAAGGTGTTTCTTATACTCCAAAAAATACGGTAGTTCTAGATTGCTGGAAAAGGAACACAAGAAGTGTCAATAGTAAGCCAGAGTTTGATTTCTCTAGTGCTTCAGCTGTTCACTATTTATCCAACGCCATGATCAGGGGAATGTCCCTTTCCTGTTCCCTGCTGTCATCTTGTAAGTGATTGTGTGACATTTAGTAGGGTTACAGCATTTCTTTAAAGCTGTTGGATAGTATTGTGGCCTGCCAGCAGAGCTGGTGGTAGACAGTGAGGAGGTTGGGGAGGAATGTGGGCCAGTCCTGGAGTGTAGGAAGGCTCTGATGAGGGCTCTGTGTTGGAGGCAGAGATGGGCCAGGGCCATCTGACAGTTATCAACTGCCGTCAGAGATCAGTGGGGCAGAAGAACAGCTGGAGCCTGTTCCCGATGTGTGCATGTGAGAGCTGGCAGGAGAAGGGAACAGTTAAGAAACAAGAGGCAACTCTGGAGTAAAGGCACAGGTAGACGGAGAACACAGGTATTCTCCCATGGGGAATAAAGAGGAGCGAAAGGGGAGTGGAGTTTGCAGGAGACTATTAGTTCACTTAATTAATGTGAAGATTTGTTTGTGACTCTTTTTTTTTTTTTTTGATATTTTATTTGTATGCCGCCCTTTTCCCTGGGGGGACTCAGGGCGGCTCACAGTTCAGGGGAAGGGAGGACAAACCATGTTAAACACATAAAACAATACATCGTTAAAAGCACAACATTCATACAATTCGGGTGGGGTCAATATCTTTAACCCCAGGCCTGTCGGGACAGCCAGGTTTTAAGAGCTGTGCGGAAGGTCTGGAGGGTGGTGAGGGTACGAATCTCCATGGGGAGTTCGTTCCATAGGGTCAGAGCTGCCACCGAGAAGGCTCTCCTCCGCGTGGTTGCCAGTCGACATTGACCGGCTGATGGAAGTCGGAGGAGGCCTAATCTATGTGATCCAATTGGTTGAGTGGAGGTAATTGGCAGTAGGCGGTCTCTCAAGTACCCAGATCCAATACCATGCAGGGCTTTGTAGGTGATAAGTAGCACCTTGAAGCGTACCCAGAGATCGACAGGTAGCCAGTGCAGCTCGCGGAGGATAGGTGTTGTGTGGGTGAAACGAGGTGCACCCACGATCGCTCGCGCGGCTGCATTCTGGACTAGCTGAAGTCGCCGAATACTCTTCAAGGGCAGCCCCATGTAGAGCACATTGCAGTACTCCAGCCTAGAGGTCACAAGGGCACGAGTGACTGTTGTGAGAGCCTCCCTGTTCAGGTAGGGCCGCAACTGGTGCACCAGGCGAACCTGGGCAAATGCCCCCCTGGTCACAGCTGACAAATGGTGTTCAAAAGTCAGCTGTGGGTCCAGGAGGACTCCCAAGTTGCGGACCCTGTCTGAGGGGCGTAGTATTTGACCCCCCAGCCTGAGAGATGGATCACTTGCCAAATTAGTGGGAGGGAAGCACAGCAGCCACTCGGTCTTATCTGGATTGAGCACAAGCTTGTTAGCCCTCATCCAGTCTCTAACAGCCTCAAGGCCCTGGCTCATCACGTCCACCGCTTCATTGAGTTGGCACGGGGCGGACAGATACAACTGTGTATCGTCCGCATACTGGTGGTATTTTATCCCGTGCCGCCGAATGATCTCGCCCAGCGGTTTCATGTAGATATTAAAAAGTAGGGGGGACAGGACCGAGACTCTCAGAGACTCCTTGCCAAGTATTTTCTTGTATAGTATTGCGTTTGGAATAATATCAGCCTGGCTGCTCTCCAAGCCTGATAAGGTCTGTGGTTGTAAATTCATCCTTGAAAGACTGTTTGCTGGAACTTTGCTGGATGCGAATGAGAGGAATTCACATTAGCTTAATAAAAAGGGGTTTTGTTGGGACAAGGAGTTTCCTTCATGATTTTGTGAAGCCTGGGTCAGAACAGATAGTTCTTGCCTTCAGCTGTTGTTTTGTAGAATAATATCCAGAATGTTTCCTAACAGCAAGAACAATTTCCCAACTGTGAAGATTTCATAAATTTCAAGACGCTGAGTACAAATAATCAGTGAAACCCTGTGCCAAAGTTGTGGGTACATCAACTCTGGAGTCTTTTAAGAAAGGATTGGGCAGTCATTTGCCTGCAATGATATGGGATCTCCTGCTTGAGCAGGAGGTTGGACTAGAAGGCCTCCAAGGTTACTTCCAACTCTGTTATTCTGATAAGAATTTTTTTAACATTTGATCCAAATCACAGTCATAGAATAATAGGAAGGGACCTTGGAGGTCTTCTAGTCCAACCCCCTACTTATGCAGGAGACCCCATACTATTTCAGACAAATGGATGTCCAGTCTCTTCTTAAAAGCCTCCAGTGATGGAGCACCCAGAACTCCAGAAGGCAAGTTGTCCCACTGATTAATTGTTCTCCCTGTCAGGAAGTTTCTCCTTAGCTCCAGGTGGAATCTCTCTTTAACAACCTCCTACTCATCACTTTTTGTGGTATTTTGAAGACTAAGTAGATCGACTCTTCTCTGTGACGGTCCCTTAAGCAGGGGAAGAGAGTCAACTGTAGTTCTTCTCTTTGATTGGCTAGACTTCCTGGTTCCTTGAACCATTCAACATACTTCGTACCTCAGGGTGTGTGTTCTGTTAAGATACAGCCTGTTGTGCCTTAAATGCCTTCTACTGTACTGCTATAAAATGGCTTCTACTGTATACCGCAGTGGTGTGGCCATGGTAACAGCTTCACAGTGCTCCACAAGGGGGCTCCCTCTGCTAAGGGAAAAATCCAACATTAGAAATTACATTTGGTCTGGACATTTTCCCCCTATAAATAAATACTCTGGCAATGTTAGGTTATCAACTAGTATACAATAAATGATGGATGTTTTAAAAATAAAATGCTAAACACTTTTACAATTCTTTGCCCATTTAATCTTATTTAAGCCCAGATAGAATAATTTATTATTATTATTATTAAAGCGGGATAAAAACCTTGTTAGGTATGACATATGTTGGCTATCGAATTATAATTTTTATGCATCTCTATTTGTCTGTAACTGATTTGAAGATAAGAATACAGCAGAGGAGGGGGGGTTATATTAATTACATTTTGAGAATGAAATTTATGTAGCCCTCCATTCCAAGTTCTCAGAGATTAGAAATTTGCTCTTCAAAGAAAAGGGATTTGGCTATCATAAAAACTTCCACGTTTCTCATTTTTGCTTCCTTTGGGGCCAGTTTTTACAGGGATGTTTTTTTTTTCAAAAGCCACTTTTTCAACATTTGGTGCTTTAGAATTCCATTCTGCCTGTGAATAAAACTGATTTGTAAATTAAGCCATCATCATTGTAAGGGTCCGCAATCATTTGCAAAGGTTTATCATTGCCCCATTAACAGTCAACATTAACATTTCCCAGGGCTACTTATAAATTCCAGCAGATGCAATGCAATGTCATCGGCTAAGCATAAAATTTGGAATGGCTTCTGTGACATTTTGCATGATAACTAAATGTCTCCCACAGGGCCCGATTGTCATGAAAACAGCTCTGTGGATGTTGAAAGTTAATCTTAAAACAATTGTTTTAGGTGGTCCATGAAACAAAAATCCTGTGTTTATTACTATAAATTTTATCATAACGTTAGGTACAGGAAAGGGGCTAAATGAGTTGTAATTCTTACCCTCTGACATTGTGATACAGGCAGTCCTCAATTTAACAACAGTTCATTTAGTGACCAATCAAAGTGACAACAGTACTGAAAACAGTGACTTACGAACAGTTTTAATACTTATGATCTTTCCTAGTATCCCCTTGATCACATGATCAAAATTCAGACATTGGGCAACTGATCGACATTTATGATGGTTGCAGTGTCCCAAGGTCACATGATCTACATTCGGATGCTTGAGAACTGATTCACATTTATGACGGTTGCAGTGTCCTGGGAATATGTAAAGAGCCGTGGTGGCACAGTGGTTAGAATGCAATATTGTAGGCAAACTCTGCCCACTGCCAGGAGCTCAATTCTGCTCAGCTCAAGGTTGACTCAGAGCTCCATCCTTCTGAGGTCAGTAAAATGAAGACCCAAATTGTCCGGGGTGAGATGCTGACTCTGTAAACTGCTTAGAGAGGGTTGCAAAGCACTGTGAAGTGGTATATAAGTTTAAGCGCTGTTGCTATTGACTCAGCCTTCCATCCTTCTGAGGTCGGTAAAATGAGGACCTATATTTGACCAGAAGGCCTATAAGGTCTCTTCCAGCTCTATTTTGATTGATTGATTTCATTCATCTAATGAAATGCTTCACATTTGATGTCTAAAGATACGCAGCAGCACAAATGTAACATGTGTCTACTACACCTTATGTTGTGGCCCGCCAGTGCAACTGGCAGCAGATTCAGAGAGTGAGGAGGTTGAGGAGGCACATGAGCCAGTCCTGGAGTCTGGGAAGGCTCTGATGAGGACTCTGTGTTGGAGGCAGAGGTGGGGCCAGGGCCATCTGACAGTTATCAACTGCCTTCGGAGTCAGACATCAGTGAGGCAGACGAACAGCTGGAACCTGTTTCCAGTGTGCAGAGTTGCCAAAACAAGAGAACAACTAAAGAACAGAGGTCGACTTGGGAGTAAGGCCACAGGTGGATGATGAATGGCCCCTCCCAGAGGAAATAAAAAAGGAGCGAAAGGGGAATGGAGTTTGCAGGAGACAATTAGCTCGCTTAATTGGTTCGTGACTCTCTCTTGCCAAGTTTTGCAGATATCGGCCTGTCAGCTCTCCAAGCCAGATAAGATCTGTGACTGTAAATCTTCCCTTGAAAGACTTCGGTAGATGTGAATGAACAGAATTCACAATGAATTAATAAAAGGGTTTTTTGTCAGGATAAGAAGTTTGCTTCATGCTCTTGGGAAGCCTACGTCAGAACACCTTATAATATTTATTTGTAGCGTAGATGTAAATATCTGTCTTGATGCTATGCACAACTGGTTGAACATAGGATGTTGGGTGAAGTTTCCTGTACAGGTACACCTCGACTTACAAGCATTTGTTAATGAACATTCAACAGCGCTGGAAAAAGTGACAATGCCATTTTTCACACTTATGATCCTTGAAGAACCAAAATTTCAACACTTGGCCACTAGCATGTATTTATGATGTTTGCCATGCCCTGGGGTCATGCAATCATCTTCAGTGACCTTCTGATAAGCACAGTCAATGGCGAAGCCAGATTCACTTAACGACTGTGTTAACCAATGTAGCAACGGCAGGGGATTCCTTGAACAACTATGGCAAGAAAGGTTGTAAATGTTCTGACCCAGGCTTCCTTAGAAAGCAAGAAGCAAAGTCTTGGTCTCGACAAAACCTCTTTTATTTACACAACTGTGAATTCCTTTCATTCACAGTCAGTAAGGCTTTAGCAAATAGTGTTTCAGAGGAATGTTTATCCACACGGATCTTATCAGTGCTGAAAGATAACTATCTTCCAAACACAGGGCAAACCAAAACTTCATACAGAATCTCTTATAATCACCAACAGAACTTTCCACTCTTAACACCACCAAATGAATGGTTTCCTGCAAAAACCCACTCCCCGTTCATTCCTCTTTTGTTTCCTATGGGAGGGGCCAATCACCTCCAAGGTGTGGCTTTACTTCTAAGTCGACACTGTTTTCTTAATTGTTCTTGTCTTCTGGCAACTCTGCTCGCACACTGGGAACAGGCTCCAGCTGTTCTTCTGCCTCACTGCTGTTTAGCTCCCTCTCTGCCTCTGACACAGAGCCCTCGTCTGAGCTTTCCTAAGCCCCCAAGACTGGCCCCTGTTCCTCCCCAGCCTCCTCACTGTCTGACTTTGCTGCCTAATTCAACATTTAGGTTCCACCTCCAATTTATGTAAGCAAGAGTTCAGGCCCTCCTCTTCTGATTTAAATATAATTTATTTCTTTTGAGAAGATAAGACAATTATGATTTCCTTAAAGCAAATTATCCATGTACATCTATGTTG